TCGGCGCGCGCAGAGGTTTTTGACACCGAGCCGATCGTTCAACCTCGAAGCGATCGCGGCCCCGACCGTTCCAAGTCGGACTCCGCCGGGCACAGCGGCGTTACCGTGTCCCTCGGTGCTTCTGGCGCGCCAACGCCGCGCGAACCTACCGCAGCACTGACGGCAGGGGCGGCGTGGACGGTTTCCCCCGGGGCCGTAGACGACCCGAGGAGAGGAGGGCGAGGTGGGGGAGGAGGAGGAGGAGGAGGAGGAGGAGGAGGAGGAGGAGGAGGAGGAGGAGGAGGAGGAGGAGGAGGCGGAGGAGCAGGAGGAGGAGGAGGAGGAGCAGGAGGAGGAGGAGGAGAGGAGGACGGGTCGCCTAAGCCTTTCGGAGAAACCCTCCAGGGTGGTGGTGTCGCTTCCGGTCTCCTCTGACAGGGGACCCAAACTCGGAAAGCCGGCTGTCCGGATCAATGGGCGGCGAGCCCAGGGGGGAAGGCAGAGAGGGCGGGGTTTCCCGGAGGGCTTCCTTCTCCCACGGCACAGGCGGCTTCTCAGGAGGCGCGAGCGCTTCTGAGAAGCCCGGCCCCCTTCCGAGAAGGCGTGCCCCCTCTCACTCCCCCCCTGGCTCGCCGCGGACGAGTGTCCGAGCAAGCCTGCCCCCTCTCGCACTCCCCCCCCCGTGGCTCGCCGCTGGTGACTGCTGGAATAGGCCCGAGGTGTGGGCCCCTGGACAGCGGCCAAGATTCCAGTGCCGCACCCTCCTCCTCCTCCTCCTCCTCCTCCTCCTCCTCCTCCTCCTCCTCCCCCTCCTCCTCCTCCCGTCTCCCTAGGGGCACTCCCCACCCACAAGGCGCCGCCCATCCCCTTAGGGGTACTCCACTCCCGCGGCCACGTGCCGCACACCAGACGGGGTGCTGATGCCCAGCGCTGGGCCTCCGTCGCTGCGACGGCGGGAGCCCCCCGGGAGCGCACTGAGACGGGAGCCCTCGCACCGGCAGAACGAAGGCGGCGAGCGTCGCCGACGCTCGTGCGCGCCCTCGCCAGAACGCGGCGCGGCCTGTCCCTCCCCGGCTCGTTTTTTCGCTTCCCAGCGCAAAGGACTCCTGCAACCGCCCACGCAAAAAGGCTGAGAAAGTGTGTGTGCGTGAAGGCAAGCGGCCACTTCGAAGATACCCAGTGCAGAGCGCGCCAGAGCGGCGAACGTGCAAAGTGGCCAGGCAGACCTATAGCTGTGCAGGTGCACTCGGGGCACCTGCACGGCCAACACCTGGCAATCCCCGATGGCTTGTGTGGGCCCCGGCAATGCCAGGGCAGCTGAAGCCGCGGAACACAAAATCGAACATGGCAAAAGTTTGGCCCAGAATCAGAAGAGCGGGAGCACCAAACGGGCAAGCCGCAGGGCCAGTGCCCGTGGGCGGCTCGCAAGCAGGACTGTAGCCGAGGGCAACCCCAAGCGCGAAAAAACCGCTGGCCCAACAGGCCACACGCGTGTTAGACATGGGCCGGCACGGGAACGGAAAGAGCGGACCAGGAACTTGCCCGAGATGGCTCACGGCACCCTTCGCTCTTGGGAGCCTTGGTGGCAAGAGCTTGTTACGTCACCGCTCGATCTTGGGAGCCTTCGTGGTAGGAGCGTGTCACGCCACCGCTCGCTCTTGGGAGCCCTAGTGTTAAGAGCTTCTTGCGTTATCGATCGCATTGTTATTTGGCGTCTCTGGGCCTTTTGGGAGGTCTGTTCGGGGCCATTTTGAAGCCTTTGGGGCCCTCGTCGGAGCCTCTTGAGGCCCTGTTGGGGCTCTTCTGGGACCCTCTTGGCGCGCTCTTGGGCCGTTTGGGGACCTCTTGGGCCGTCTTGGAGCCCTCTTGGGCCGTTTTTGGGCCCTTCTGGGGGCCTCTTGGGCCGTCTTGGGACGATCTTTGGAGCCTCTTGGGCCGTTTGGGGCCGTTCTTGGCCCGAAAGGGCGGGAACTTGAAAAACCTTGAAAAACCGTTGCATCTCAATGAAATGTGCCTCTGTGGGCCCTCTTGGGAGGCCTCTTGGAGGCCTACTGGGCCGTCTCGGGGCCCTCTTGGACCGCCTTTGGGCCTTCTGAGGCCATCTTGGAACGCTCCTGGACGGTTTTGGGGTCTCTTGGAGCGCTCGTGGACCGCCTCAGGGCCGTCCTCGACGCCTCTGGCGCCCCTCTTGCGCCCCTCTGAGGCCGTCTTGGGCGCCTCTTGGGCCGTCCCAGGGGGAAGAGGGGCGCTTAGACCATCCCTTCCCCCCCTCGCCCCTCCTCTGGACCCCTCCCTAGAGGGCGTCGCCTCACCAGAACGTCATCACTCGTACCTCGTACCTCGCTCTTTCCGTTACCTGGGCCGGCACGGGAACGGAACGAGCGCTCTCGGCAACTTGCCCGAGAGGGCTCATGGCACCGCTCCTGGGCGGTCAGAGCCTTCTTCGCGTCACTGCTCTCTCTTCTGGGAGCATTGGCGTCAGCGGCTTTTTTACGTCACCGTTCACACTTGGGAGCCATGGTGCTGACGGCTTTTTCACGTCACCCTTCACTCTTGGGAGCCATGGTGTTAAAGAGCTGCCTACATCACCGCTCTCTCTCTCTCTCTCTGGAGCCCTGGTTTCAAAGGCGTTTACGTCGCTGGGAGCTCTTCGGAGCCTTGCCGCTCAAAGCTTGTCACCTCGCCGACTCGTGTAAGAAGGGCGTTCCTATCCCCGTGTGGCTCTTGGGAGCCTTGGCGACAAAGATGTGCCCAGCTTTCGGCCGTGTGAGCGCGGGAGCTGTGGCATCAAAGCTGCGTCCGCTACAGTACTGGGACGTCGTGGAGGGGCTCTTGAGACGCTCCTGGGGGCAAGTTGGGGGCCTAGTGGGTCTGTTGTAGGCCTCTGGGGCCGTCTTGGGGTGGGGCCGTCTTGGGGACCTCTTGGAGGCCTCTGGGGAAAAGTCTTGGTGCCTCTCGGGCTCTCTTGGGGCCCTCATAGGCCGTCTCGGAGCCCTCTTGGGCCTCGTAGGCCGCCCTGGGGCCCTCCAGGATTAAATGGGCTTCTCGGGCCCTCCGAGATCAGGTGGGCCTCTCGGGCCCCAAAGGCGCCCTAAGAGGGCCCCGCGGCTCCGCGAGACTGCCCCCAAAGGCTCCGAGGGAGCCCCAAGAGAGCCCCAGAGCGCGGGCCACTCGGCGCCAGGCCTGAAGATGGCTCCAAGACGGCCCCCAAAGACGCCCCAAGATGGCGCCGAGGCGACCCAAGGTGACCCAAAACAGCCCAGTGGATCCCAAAGACGCCCGAAAATGGTCAAAGATGTGTCCATGGGCACCCCCAGAATGAAGGGGCCCAGCGGCACACGATTGGATAGACACGAACCCCAGGATCCCCCACATTTCCAATATTTTCTGAATGTGCGTCTCCCCTCCATTTCCCATACGTTCCCATGTTTTCCCAGGATTCGACGATTCGTTGTGTCTGTGTGATTCCCCCCCTCCCGACAGAAGGCCGCCCAGGCTCTACGAGGCTGCTCCTCTCGAGTAGGGATTCGACTACAGAATTGACTTGCCCCAGGATTCACGGTTCTTGCCGACTCCACGGGCAAGTCGTGGAACTTTCGCAGGCCTGCGAATGACTGACGTTTTTTTGTTGGAGGGTCGACGTGAAAAGTAATTCTGAGGTAAATCAATTTGAAGGGGCCCTGGGACACACAAATAAATACACACACACATAAAAAAAGGTTCCCCAGATGTTCCCATATGTTCTGGGTTTTTGTTTTCCCCCCACTTCCCATAGTTTCCCATATTTTCTGGGGGATCGACGACAAATTCCCCACATGTTTCGTGGGGTGTGGGTTTTTCCCCTGCCGCGCCGCACCCGCGTCTCACACCTCCCCCCTCCCCCTTCTCCTTCTCGCACCAGAGCAGCACAGCACAGCACAGCACAGCACAGCACAGCACAGCACAGCACAGCACAGCACAGCACAGCACAGCTCACCGCACAGCAGCACAGCACAGCATAGCACACAGGGCACTCCTTCGACGCCACAGGGGGTGCGCTGGGGGTGGGGGCCCTATGCGTTTCGGGCTCGCAAAGCGTGGCAGGCGTGGCACTTCCTCGACGCCAGAGGGGGTGCGCTGGGGGTGGGAGCCCACCGCGGTCTCTATACGCGCCAATGTCGCAGGGCCTAGCAGGCGTGGCACTTCCTCGACGCCACAGGGGGTGCGCTGGGGGTGGGCGCCCACCGCGGTCTCTATACGCGCCAATGTCGCAGGGCCTAGCAGGAGTGGCCTTTCCTCGACGCCAAAGGGGGTGCGCTGGGGGTGGGGGCCCACCGCGGTCTCTATACGCGCGCCAATGTCGCAGGGCCTAGCAGGCGTGGCATTTCCTCGACGCCACAGGGGGTGCGCTGGGGGTGGGGGCCCACCGCGGTCTCTATACGCGCCAATGTCGCAGGGCCTAGCAGGAGTGGCAATTCCTCGTCGCCACAGGGGGTGCGCTGGGGGTGAGGGCCCACCGCGGTCTCTATACGCGCCAATGTCGCAGGGCCTAGCAGGCGCGGCATGTTCTCGACACCGGAAGGGTGCGCTGCAAGCTCCCAGGGCGTGGCGGACGTGGCATTGTTTCGACGCCACAGGGGGTGCGCTGGCGGTGGGGGCCCTATGCGCTGCAGGCCCCCAGGGCGTGGCAGGCGTGGCATTTCCTCGCCGCCACAGGGGGTGCGCTGGGGGTGGGGGCCCTATGCGCTGCAGGCTCCCAGGGCGTGGCAGGCGTGGCATTTCCTCGACGCCACAGGGGGTGCGCTGGGGGTGGGAACTTGTGTCTTGTCAAGATCTGTAAACACCTTGGCTCAAGCCGGCTCGGCGCGCCTGCGCGGTCACGCAGGCGCGCTCCTGTAGTCCTACTTCAAAGCACCGCCCGACCTGCGCGGCAGCCATGCCTCCCAAAATCGCCGTGGATGCGCTGCCACCTCCATGTTTGGCGATGAAGACTACAATGGTTCAGATGGGCGGCGAGGGTCTGCGAACACACGCGACTTGAACTAGGTATGTGGGGTTCCTCGGTAGCGTAATTGTGTCTGTGTGTTTTTTCCCTCCTGACAATTCTGTAGCAGCCGATCCTCTGGACGGGCCAGACACGGACCGCCCACCAGCGCCACGCGACGCCCTCCACCCGACGGCAGCACGCCCCACCCCCCCCGGGGGCGGCCCAAGCCCGAGGACCCCCGATGGCAGCACCGCGCCCCCTCCAGGGGGCCAATACTCGAGCAGGGGATCGGCTGCAGAATTGACTTCCTCCAGAATGGAGATCCTCGTCGAACCCAGGAGAGAAGTACGCAGAACAGCCAGTACACCTACGGAGCATTGCAAGTATGGTTCGTATGTTCGACGGGGAATCCATTTTGGGGTAAATCGATTCCGTAATCGGTCCCCTACTTCAAATACAGGGCTCGACCAAAAGAGTGCTTTTCTGCTCCGTTTCCTTCCTTGCGCTTTGTGTCCGATCCGCCCCTGCTGCAAAACAAAGCCGAAACGCAAACGGCCCACGAGACCGCCAAACCACCGCTTGGGTCGACCCCTCGGCCATCACGACCCTGGACAGCACCCCGGCGGGCCCCAAGGTCGGCGACGAGCCCGGGGGGGAAGTGAGAGGGGGCGGGCCTTCTCCGAAGGCTCGGAAGGCCCCCCGGCCTTCTGAGGAGTCTGCTGAGCCTTGCCCGGAAGACACAATTTTGATCCGCGGGTGGAGAGCGCATCTCTTCCGGTCGAAGCTAAGCGGGCCGCGCACAGCTTTTAATCAACAGAGGGTGGAAGGCAGAAGGAGGGGCCTCACGTCAAGGCCAAGAGGGGGCAAAGCCCCGGAATCAGGCGGTGCCGAAGACAATGTGCTTGCAAAGGAACGCCTTGTACAGCCCTGCCCGGAAGACACAGACCTTCTCCTCCTCACTTCCCCCCCTCTCGCGCCGCCGATCCGCAGCCCCAAGCGGGCCCCGCCCCCAGGGAGACCGCCTGGCCCCTGGGAGGCCCGAGGCCGTGGGACGAAAAGGGCACGACGAGTCTTGAGGGGGCCCTGGGACACACTTTTTGATCCGCGGGTCGAGAGCGCACCTCTTCCGGTCGAAGCGAAGCGGGCCGCGCGAAGCTTGAATTAGGCAAAGAAGAGGAGGGAGGAAGCGGCGGAGCCTCAGAGCGAGGCCGAGAGGAGGCATAGGAGGGTCCCACGATGAGGGGCAACGATAGGGGGAGACTGGCGTAGGGGGGGGGTGCATCGACCTGGAATCGGCGACACATCGCCGAGATGTCGGCGACAGGCCCCCGATCGTGAGTCCGCACCTGCCTGGGCAGGCTGGGGCTATCGGGCCTCCATCGGCGATCAATGGGCGATTGGGGGTCGATGCATCCCCCCCTATGCCTATCCGCCCCTATCGTTGCTCCTGACATGACGCTGACACGGGTCCGAAAGATACCCCAGTCCAGGAGGCCTGGAGGGTTGCCCAGGAGGCCCCCAAGGGGGCCCAGGAGGCCCTGAGAGGCCGGAGGGAGACTTGAAGAGAGACTCCGAGACTCCAAGAGAGGCCCCAACTGACACGAGGTTGAAACAAAATCGGTTCAATGATTCTGCTCCCAGGCTTTCCGCCCCCAGACGGCTCAAAGATGGCCCGTCAGGGACCAGAGAGGACCGAAGAAGGCCAAAGGACGGCCCAAGAGGGCCCCAAGATGGCCCCAGGATGGTCCAAGACAGTCCAACAGGCCCCCGAGAGGCCCCCGAGAGGCCACTAAGAGGCCCCCCGGAAGCTTCAGAGAAGGGCCCCAAAAAAGTCGCCAAGACGGTCCCGCGCCCCGCCATGGCCTCCGGAGCCGCCGAAGCGGCCCCAGGGGCCCAGGGAACTACGCCTGTGGGCCCCAGGAGCTCCAAGAGGGCCAGAGGGGCCCAGAAGTGGCAGGCATTTGCTTCGAACGGTCCCCCGACCATTTCCACGGCGGCCTCGGCGCAGCTCCGTCACGCGGCAAAGCCGCGGCCCGACACTTCGGCCACGCGGGCGTGTCCACAACTGGCCGTCGCTCGGACGTCCATTCCCTGTGTTTCTGTTCGGTTTCGTGCGTGGCTTTTTCGCCAAATGATCAAGGATGCTCCTCGATGGTCCTCGCCGAGGAGGGAGGAGGGAGGAGGGAGGAGGGAGGAGGGAGGAGGGAGGAGGGAGGAGGGAGGAGGGAGGAGGGAGGAGGAGGAGGGAGGAGGAGGAGGAGGAGGAGGAGGAGGAGGAGGAGGAGGAGGAGGAGGAGGAGGAGAGGAGGGGGAGGAGGGAGGAGGAGGAGGAGGAGGAGGAGGAGGAGGAGGAGGAGGAGGAGGGGAGGAGGAGCAGCGGTGGCTCGCGCGGGAAGGGGCCCTCCGCTCGAGAGGGCAGCCCTGCCAGCGGGCGGCCCGCCCAGTGCCCGGCGAGAGGCTCGGCCGCCAGCGGGGCACCCGCCGGCGGCGGGCGGAGAGGGGGGGGTGCGAAGGAAGGGTGCTGCTGATGCGGAGGAGGAGGAGGAGGAGGAGGAGGAGGAGGAGGAGGAGGAGGAGGAGGAGGAGGAGGAGGAGGAGGGGCCCTGGGACACACAAATAAATTGTACACACCAATAAAAAGATTCCCCACATTTTCCCATGTGTTCTGGGTTTGGGTCTGCCCCCCCCCACTTCCCATAGTTTCCCATAGTTGGGGGGAATCGGCGATGAATTGTGTCTGTGTGTTTTTTCCCCTCCTGAGAGAAGGTGAAGGCCAAAAGACTTCTCAGCAGGCGCGAGCGCTTCTGAGAAGCCCCGCCGCCTTCTGAGAAGGCCCTCTTCCCAGACCCCCGACGTCATGATTTTTTCATGACGTCGACCCCCAGAGATCTTGACCCATTCCCCGGGACCGGTTTTTCATCCTGAGTCGTTTCTTGACGGTCCCGAGGGCCGGTTAGGGCCTCCAAAGGCCGAAAATGATGTAAAACCTCCTGTCATGATTTTTTCATTACTCGAGGGGGTCTGGGCTTCCTTCTCCGTTCCCCCCCCCTCGCTCGCCGCCGCCTCCGGCCCTCTCTCCTTCCCCTCCCTGTCCGGGAGGGCGGCGAGCTCCACAGGCCCGCCGTTCGGAAGACGCCAGCGATACTCTCGGGAGCGGCAAAGAGGGAGGGGCGTCCAAGAGGGGGGGTGCAAATCATGGCCGGCGGCATGTGCGCGGCCTCTGTCGCCCCACGCCGCCAGCTTGAGTAAAGCAGTGCTGTCGTTGCCCAGCGAAGTTGGGCTGCCGACCGCCCTCGAAAGGCTGCGCTCGCTGCCCCCGTTTGCCCTCCAGCTCTGCACCCCGCTGCAGAGCGCCTCCGTGCGTGGAGCTCCGGCCGCCTCGCCGAGGGCACCGCGGGGAGGGCCCTCCAAGAGGGGGGGGCGCAGGGACGTAATGAAATAATTAAGAAGAGGCGCCCTGAGATCTGGGGAACTATCATGGCCCACGCCATGAGATCCCCCCCCCTGGTCATCACCCCCCTCTTTTCCGCCCCCGAGAGACATACACCTGACGCCCGCACTGGTCCCGGCCGGGCCGATCCTGGGTCAAGGATCGGTGTTTGTGTGTGTGTGTGTGTGTCTGTGCGTGTGCCTTCCTCGCCAAGCCTGGAGGGCGTGCACGTCGATCTTGGGTCCAGGTGGGGCTGGCCAGGATCGGTGCGGGAGTACAGATCGAGCAGGAGATCAACTGCATAATCGAGTTACCCGAAAATCGAAGAACTGTTCGTCGAATCTACCACACACGCGTGTAATGTACGAACCTCATACGTACCTTCTCGCAGGCTCGTCGAAAAGTACAAGTCTGGACTGAATCAATTCTGTAGTCGACCTCCTACTCGAGTAGTTGGTACCCTCCGAGCAGTCGCTCGGCGAGCCCCGTCGATCTGTGTCAACGGGTGCAGTCTAGTTGCTGCTCCACCATTAGCTCCGTGTCCTCCCTTCCTCTCCCGCTCGTCGCAGGCGGAGAGCAGGTGCTCACTCCGAGTGGGAGAAGGAGGCGTACACCACGTCGCCATCGTCGTTAGCATCGATGGTACGCCAGCAACCCGTCATGCCCACGCCCCAGAATCGCGCCTTGCCGTCCCGATGGGCGGTGACCACCGTCTTGCCGTCTGGGGAGAACTCGGCGGAGTCCACGGCATCCGAGGAAACCCGCAGCGTCTGCAGGCACTTGCCCCCATCGGTTGCCCAGATCCTCGCCATACCGCTTGTGGAGGCGGTCACCACCGCCCTGCCATCTGGCGAGAATTGCACGGACGTGATGAAGGATTCGCTGACGTCCAGAAGTGTGCACGAGCACTTGCCAGAACTCGTGCTCCAAATCTTCGCCGTGCCGTCGCCAGAGGCTGTTGCTACGGCCTGACCGTCCGGCGAGAACACGACTGACTTCACGAAGCCACTGTGTCCACTGAGCGTCCGCACGCACTCGCCCGAACTCACCATCCAGATCTTTGCCGTACCGTCGACAGACGCAGTGGCGAGCGCTTGACTGTCGGGCGAGAACGCTGGCGAGGTCACGGAGCCTCGGTGGCCGTGCAGCGTGTGCAGACACGTGGCCGCATCGGCGCTCCATATTCTTGCTGTGCCGTCTGCGGAAGCCGTGGCGATGGCGTGGCCGTCTGGGGAGAAGACGGCAGAGCTCAGGCCCGCGGCGTGGCCCTCGAGAGTGCGCAGGCACTCGCCCTTGCTGGCGCTCCAGACCTTCGCGGTGCCGTCTGTGGAGGCAGTGGCCACCCTTCCACCGTCGGGCGAGAACGCGACGGACTGCACGGCACGACCGTGGCCCTGCAGCGTCCACAGGCACTCGCCGGAGCGGGCGCTCCACAGCCTCGCCGTGTGATCGAGGGAGGCGGTGGCCACCAGGGAGCCCTCCGGCGAGAACGTGGCCGCATACACGCTGCTCGCGTGGCCCCGCAGCACGCGCAGGCACTCGCCCGAGGAGGGGCTCCAGAGCTTGACCTGGCCGGCCATCGCCCTGGTCACGACCGGCGGGAGCGACGTCGCCACCAGGGTCAGGCGGTCCCCGTCGGCCACCCCGAGGTCGCCCAGGGTGGTCTGCCCGACCAGCTCGGCCGCCCCGAAGAGGACGCGGACGCGGGAGCGGGAGGCCTCGGCCTCGTGCCACGGGGCGTGCGCCAGGACGTCCTGCGCCCCCCACGCGGGGCTGGCCGCGACGGCGGTCTCGCAGCCGCCGCCGAACCCGCGCGCCACGAGGACTCGCATCTGGGGCATCGTTTAACCGATCGCCCTCCTGGGGCGGGGTATCCGCCACCGCGCCGCGAGGCACGAGCCGGAGCGCCCTCAGGTCCCTGTAGCCCTCAGTCCCCGGTCCACAGGACGAAGCGCTGCAGGGCCCGACCCAAAATTCTCCGAAGCTTCTGCGGTTCCTGGCGTGCCTCGCGTGGTTCCCAGGCGCCTCCCGCCGGCTTTCTTCAGAGCCGCGAGCGCCCAACAAGGGCCAAGAGGGCCCCGAGAGGCATCTGACCTACAACTCAAGCACGGTGGCGGGATTGGCCGAAGGCCAATAGAGCTGCTTGGCACGGGGACGGAAAGCGCACGTACTTTCAGAGCGCACGAGATCGTTGGCTCGTCCGCTCTTACACCTCTTATTGACTCCCTTCCCCTCGCTCTTGTCCTATCTCAGCCTCGGAGAGTCGCGGAGCTTTCTTTGAGCGCGTTTCTTGTTTTGGAGGAGGCGGTCGGGTCGCGTTGCGTTTTCCGCGTTTGGGCTGCCAGCTTTCCAGAACCCCGCGTTTTCCTTGCGTGGACCGCTCGTTGTCCACGCGTTGCCGCCCGTCCCTGTGCCCTGGCGTCAAGAACTCATTACGCCGCAGCTTTCTGTTGGGAGCTTTGGTCTTATCAGCTCGATTACGTCACCGCTCGCTCTTGGGAGCCGCGGTGCTAAGAGGCTTTGGGAGTATTTGGGGCCTCTTGGGGGGCTCTTGGGGAGCCTCCTGGGTGCCTCTTGGTGACCTTTTGGGGCTTTTCGGGGGCCTCTGGGGGCCTCCTGGGAGCTTCTGGGCTGCGGGGGTGAAGGGACTAGGCTGCCTTTGGCCGTCTTTGGGCTCTCTTGGGGGCCTCTTGAGGCCTTCTTGGGGCCGTCCTGAGGCCGTCTTGGGCCGTCTTGGCGCCTCTTGGGCCGTCTTGGCGCCATCTTGGGCCGTTTTGGGGCCTTCTTGGGGGCCTCTTGGGCCTTCTTGGGGCGCTCTCAGGGGCCTCTTGAACAGTCTTGGACGCCTCTTGGCCCGTCTTGGCGCCCTCTTGGGTTATTTGGGGGGCTTCTTGGGAACATCTTGGGCCGTCATGGGGCGGTCTTGGGGGCCTCTTGGACCGTCTTCAACGCCATGAAAGGCGAAAAGCCGTATATGCTAAAAATGCACGTTTTCCTTAAGAAAATCAATGATTTTGGCCTCTTGGGGCCCTCTTGGGACGCCTCGTGGGCGCCTCCTGGGGCGTCGTGGAAGCCTCTTGGGACGTCTTGGGGCCGTCTTGGGCGGTCTTGGGCTCTCTTGGAGCGCTCTTGGGCCGTCTTGGGCGCTTCTTGGGCAGTCTTTGGCCGTCTTGGGCGCCGTCTTGGCCGCTTCTTGGGCTGTCTTAGGCGCCTAAGACGGCCCAAGAAGCGCCCAAGAAGCGTTTTCCGATGATCTCTCGAGCGAAACGCTGTTTTTAAGCCCCGAAGGCAGTCCTACTCGATAAAACCTGCTTGGCATGGGGACGGAAAGCGCACTTACTTTCAGAGCGCACGAGATCGCTGGCTCGTCCGCTCTTACACGTCTTATTGACTCCCTTCCCCTCGCTCTTGTCCTATCTCAGCCTCGGAGAGTCGCGGAGCTTTCTTTGAGCGCGTTTCTTGTTTTGGAGGGGGCGGTCGGGTCGCGTTGCGTTTTCCGCGTTTGGGCTGCCAGCTTTCCAGAACCCCGCGTTTTCCTTGCGTGGACCGCTCGTTGTCCACGCGTTGCCGCCCGTCCCTGTGCCCTGGCGTCAAGAACTTATTACGCCGCAGAGTTGGGAGCTTTGGTCTTATCAGCTCGATTACGTCACCGCTCGCTCTTGGGAGCCGCGGTGCTAAGAGCCTTTGGGAGTATTTGGGGCCTCTTGGGGGGCTCTTGGGGAGCCTCCTGGGTGCCTCCTGGGGACCTTTTGGGGCTTTTCGGTGGCCTCTTGGGGCCTCCTGGGAGCTTTTGGGCTGAGGGGGTGAAGGGACTAGGCTGCCTTTGGCCGTCTTTGGGCTATCTTGGGGGCCTCTTGGGGCCTTCTTGGGGCCGTCCTGGGGCCGTCTTGGGCCGTCTTGGCGCCTCTTGGGCCGTCTTGGCGCCCTCTTGGGCCGTTTGGGGGCCCTCTTGGGGGCCTCTTGGGCCTTCTTGGGGCGCTCCTAGGGGCCTCTTGGACAGTCTTGGACGCCTCTGGGCCCGTCTTGGCGCCCTCTTGGGTTATTTGGGGGCCTCTTGGAAACATCTTGGGCCGTCTTGGGGCGGTCTTGGGGGCCTCTTGGACCGTCTTCAACGCCATGAAAAGCGAAAAGCCGTATATGCTAAAAATGCACGTTTTCCTTAAGAAAATCAATGATTTTGGCCTCTTGGGGCCCTCTTGGGACGCCTCGTGGGCGCCTCCTGGGGCGTCGTGGAGGCCTCTTGGGACGTCTTGGGGCCGCCTTGGGCGGTCTTGGGCTCTCTTGGAGCGCTCTTGGGCCGTCTTGGGCGCTTCTTGGGCCGTCTTGGGCCGTCTTGGGCGCCGTCTTGGCCGCTCTTGAGCCGGGCCTGGCGATGCCACCCCCCTCGAACTCCCCCAAGTCCAATTTCTTCCGACTAACGGACCGCACGCGAACGCGCGCTTTCCGTCATTCGCCGCCCACTGTTGCTTGCAAGAGGGGCGCCTGGCGTGCTGAATCCTTTCGGTTTTGGTTTTGGTTCTTTTTCCAGAAGAACTCCCCCTGGGGCTTCGGCCCGTCCCGACGGCCACCCGGAAAGGAGCTCAATTGCGGAAAAATCCTCCAAGACGGCTCAAGATGGCCTCCAAGATGGCCACGTTGGCCCAAGATGGCCTCCAAGATGGTCCAAGATGGCCTCCAAGTCGCCAAAGATGGTCCAAGATGGCTTTCAAGACTGCACCCAAGAGAGTCCAAGATGCCTTCAAGTTCGTCCAAGAAGCCTCCAAGACGTCCCAAGATGGCTCCAAGATGGCCTAAGACTGGCCAAGAGGCCCCAAGAGGCCTCCAAGACGTCCTCCAGGAAGGCCCGAAAGGGCAAAAGTCATCGATGTTCCTTAAGTTTTTGAAGGATTCTTGCATCGGCCCAAGACTGCCCAAGAGGCCCCCAACATCGTCCCAAGAGCGCGCAAGAGGCCTCCAAGATGGCCTCCAAGATGGCCCCATGAAAGCCCAAGAGGCCCCCAAGAGGGCCCCAAGAAGAGCCCAAGACGGCCCAAGATGGCCCCGAAGACGCCGAAGATGGCCTCCAAGACGGCCAAGCTGGCCTCCAAGATGCCTCCAAGACGGCCAGGAAGGCTTCCAAGACAGCGAAGATGGCCCCAAGATGCACCCACGACGGCCCCAGATGGCCTCAAGATGGCCTTAGACTGCCCAAAAGGCCCGCAGAAGGCCTCCAAGACGGCCCAAGAGCCCTCCAAGACGTTCTCCAGGAAGGCCCGAAAGGGTCAAGTTTTCCTCACTCTCCTCCTCTTCCCCAATCTCCTCCACGTGTTGCCCGAAAGCTTTCCAAACCGATTCGGGGAACACTCGTTCCGAAAGATTGGCAAGGATCTGACCCAACCTTCGGCCAGCAGGCCCCAAGACGCCTCCAAAAGCTCACAACAGCCCCCAAGGGGCCCCGAACACGCCCATTCCTCACTCTCTTCCTCTTCCCCGTCCTCCCCAACGTGTTCCCCGAAGGTTTTCCAAACCGATTCGGGGAACACATGGTCCGATAGCTTGGCAGGGCTCTGGCCTCAACGTTCGGCCACATAGGCGCTTCCAAAAAGGCAGGGGGCGGCGGTGACTCGCCGTAGGCGTCTTCGATCCGCCGCCCCCTATGGTCTTGCCACAGGGGTGCCGGGCGTGCTGGACACTAGACGGTTTGGCTTTCGTTCTTTTCCATAAAGAACTCTCCCTGGAGCTTCGGCCCGTCCCGCCGGTCCACCGGAAGGAAGCGCAATTTTCCCAATTCTCCGAAAAATTCTCACAAGATGGCTCAAGATGGCTTTCAAGACCGCCAAGATGGTCTAAGATGGTCTCCAAGATGCCTCCAAGATGGCCAAGATGGTCTCCAAGAAGGCCCGAAGAGGCCAAAATCATTGATTTTCGCTGGGTTTTGGAAGGATTTGGGGATTTACTCCTTTTCGGCCTTCCGACGGCCCGAGACGGCCCAAGAGCCCCCAACGATCGCCCTAAGATCGCCCAAGAGGCCACCAAGATGGCCCAAGAACGGCCCAAGAAGCCCCAGGACGGCCTCAAGAGGCATCCAAGACGCCCAAGATGGCCTCCAAGACGGCCCTGGAGGCCTCCAAGAGGGCCTCCAGGAAGGCCCAAAGATGCCAAAACGATTGATTCTCCGACGGTTTTGGAAGGATGCTCGCATATTCTTCCTTTCGGCCTTCCGACGGTCCGAGACGGCCCAAAAGCCCCCAAAGATCGCCCCAAGATCGCCCAAGAGGCCACCAAGATGGCCCCAGAACGGGACGGTCTCAAGAGGGCCCCAAGACGGCCCAAGAGGCCTCCAAAACGCCCCAAAATGGCCTCCAAGACGGCCCTGGAGCACCCCAAGAGGGCCCCAAGTCGGCCGAGAGAGTCGGCCGAGAGGGCCCCCCACGGGCCACGAATGCTTTACGACGGCCGAAGAGGCCTCCGAGAAGCCCCCAAAGGCCCCCAAGAGGCCGAAGGAGGCCCCCAAGATGCCTCCAAGAGGCCCCCAGGAAGCTCCCAGAAGGCCCCAAGACTGCCCCCAGAGGCTCCCCAGACACCGCCTCTCCTCTTCTTCCTCCTCCTCCTCCTCCTCCTCCTCCTCCTCCTCCTCCTCTTCCTCATCCTCCTCCTCATCCTCCTCCTCCTCCTCCTCCTACTCCTCCAGATCTTCCCTGCCATCCTCCCCCAAGTGTTCCCCGAAGGGCTTCCACAACGGCTGGGGGAACACATGGTCCGATAGCTTGGCAGAGCTCTTACCACAACGCTCGGCCACATGGGCGATTCCAAAGGCAGGAGGCGGCGGTGACTCGCCGTAGGCGTCTTCGATCCTCCGCTCCCCTGTGGTTTTGCCACAAGGGTGCCCGTCGTGCTGAACCCTATTCGGTTTGGATTTAGTTATTTTTCCAGATATGGTCGCCCCAAGAACCCGGAAAGGAATATAGAAATGTAAGGCATGGCAACGTTTTCAAAGACACCTGATTGGGCGACGGGCAAATGCAATGCTAAATGAATCGATCTTGATGCATCGTGCCGAGGGCTGTGCTGTGCTGCGCCGTGCTGAATTGCGATGTACCATGCCGCGATTGTGCTTTATAGCGTTGTGGATCGAGTCCTCTTTTGCATCCGAGTCCGAACCGAACTGATATGAATCGTAAGCTCGAGCTGCCTGAGCACATAATAGCTGCCCCAGAGCTAATTGACAGGGGGACATGCCAGGAGGACGCGCGCGCCAAGCGACGTGCCAGAGGACGTGCCATGGGGACGCACCGCGGGACGTGCCAAGGGGACGCGCTACGGTACGTGCCGATGGACGTGCCAGGGGACGTGCCAGGGGACGCGCCGCGCGACGTGCCAGGGGGACTCGTTATGGGACATCCTCATGCTAGACATCCGCCTGGGCAACCTGGACACGTGCAAACAAGCGTCTCGATCGAGACTTCCTCAACACATCCTCATGCTAGACATCCACCTGGGCGACCTGGACGCGTGAAAACAAGCGTCTCGCTCGAGACATCCCTAACAGTTCCTCATGCTAGACATAGGCCTGGACAACCTGGACGCGTGAAACCAAGCGTCTCGCTCGAGACATCCTCAAGATCCGGGCACGTGAAAACAAGCATTTCACCCGAGACGTCCTCTGAATTCTGATCCCAGGAGAGGAACCATATATAACACAAGACAAGCTGCTTGAGACATCCTCAACAAAATTCTGAAAAACAAGCGATTCGCTCGGGACATCCTCAAACATAAATTCGCCGTCCCTCTTCCCGCCTCGTTATTTACCGCAAATGATTCCGGCCATCTTCCTGTCGACAGCTAAAAGACAACCCTGGGCCAGATCCCTTTCCGGGAAAAAAAACTCACCCTGGAGATTCAGCCCGTCCCGCCGGCCACCCGAAGGCCACACAAACGACCTCCACGCGCACAAAATCTCCAAGACGGCTCAAAATAACTTCCAAGATGGTCACGTTGGCCCAAGATGGCCTCCAGGATGGCCCAAGATGGTCCAAGTTGCTTCCAAGTCCGCCGAAGAAGTCGCCAAGACGGCCCAAGATGGCTCCAAGATGGGCCCAAGAGGCTCCCAAGAGGCCTCCAAGAGGTCCTCCGGGAGGGCCCGAAGAGGCCAAAATCATTGGTTGTCCTTAGGTTTTTGAAGGATTTTACATATGCTTCTTGTCGGCCTTCCGACAGCCCAAGACGGCCCAAGAGGCCCCCGAGATCGCCCACGAAGTCTCCAAGACGGCCCAAGACGGCTGCAAGATGGCTCAAGACGGCCCAAGAGGCCCCCAAAAGGTCTCCAAGACGGCCCAAGAGGCCTCCAAGAAAGCCTCCAGGAAGGAGCGAAGAGGCCAACATTGGTTCTTAGCGTTTATGTTAAAGGAATTTGGCGTTTGCTTCTTTTCGGCCTTCCGACGGCCCGAGACGGCCCAAGAGCTCCCAAAGATCGCCCCAAGATCGCCTAAGAGGCCACCAAGATGGCCCCAGAACGGCCCAAGAGGCCCCAGAACGGACGGCCTCAGGAGGGCCCCAAGACGGCCCAAAAGGCCTCCAAGAGGGCCCCAAGAGGGCATCCAAGACGGCCCTGGAGCACCCCAAAAGGGCCCCGAGTCGGCCCAGAGAAGCCCCCAAGACGGGCCAGGAGGCCACCAAGATGGCCCAAGATGGCTCTAAGATGGCCCAAGACGGCCCAAGAAGCCCCCAAGAGGTCCACCCGAAAAGCCGCCAAAAATTCCGGGATCGTCGGTTTTCCCGCCGCAGACGGCCCTAAGGTAGCATCCAAGATGGCCAAAATGGGCCCCAAGACGGCCAAAATGCCGCCAAGAGAACCCAAGATGGGCTCAAAAAGTCTTCAAAATGACCTAAGATGCACCCAAGACAGCCCAAGATGGTTCCAAAATGGCACAAGACAGCCCAAGAGGCCCCCAATAGGCCGCCAGGACGGCACGAGAGGCGTCCAAGAGGTCCTTGATGAAGGCCCGAAAAGAATCAAATCATTGATTTTCCGTTGGTGTTTGTAGGTTGTTGGCATTTGCATTTGCTCCTGGTTGGCCTTCCGACTGCCCAAGACGGCCCAAGAGGCCCCCAAGATTGTCCCAAGATCGCCCAAGAGGCCTCCAAGATGGCATCAAGAAGCCCCAAGAGGTTCCCAAGACGGCCCCCAAAGTGCCCCAAGACGGCCCAAGAGGCCCCCAAGACGCCCAAGATGACCTCCAAGACAGACCCTGAAGCGCCCTAACAGGGCCCCCAAAATGGCCCCAAGACGGCCCAGAGAAGCTCCCAAAACGGCTTCCGACGGCGTCAGGGCCGGGAACACCGTGAGACGAGCAAAGAGACCCCCAAGAAGCCCCCGAAGGCCCCCAAGAGGCCCAAGGAGGCCCTCCAAGAGGCCTCGAAGAGGCCCCTAGGAAGCTCCCAGGAGGCCCCAAGAATGACTCCAGAAGCTCTCGAGAGGTCTCCTCATCCTTCTCCTCATCCTCCTGTTCCTCCCTCTCCTCATCCCCCGCTTCCTCCCCAACGTGTTCCCCGAAGGGCTTCCACCACGGCTGGGGGAACGCATGGTCCACTAGCGTGGCCGCACTTTGCCCAAACGCTCGGCCACATAGGCGTATCCTGAAAGGCAGGAGGCAGCGGTGATTCGCCGTGGGCGTCTTCGAGACCCTCCCGAGGTGGGGATCCACGGTGCTTCCACTGTGATCCACTCGGGGCTCGCGGGACCGGACCCACCTGGAGGTACGGAGGCCTCCTGGATGGGGTCCGAGCAGCTGGGGTCGGAGGACCTCGCCGCACCGCCGAGGCACCGGCGATGCATCGGCGTTGCATCGGCGATGCATCGGCGACGTCGGCGTGGAGCAAATCGAGCCCCACATCGAGCCGCATCGCCGCTGCATCGCCGACGCGTCGGCGACGCGGCACGACCCTCCGGCCCCACCTGCTCCGACCCCCTCCAGGAGGTCCAGAGGGGGGAGGAGGAGGAGGAGGAGGAGGAGGAGGAGGAGGAGGAGGAGGAGGAGGAGGAGGAGGAGGAGGAGGAGGAGGAGGAGGAGAGGGAGCAGAGAGGAGGAGGAGGAGGAGGAGGAGGAGGAGGAGGAAGGAGGAGGAGGGAGGGAGGAGGAGGAGGAGGAGGGGCTGGTGGGGCCGAGACGCCCCGGCCCCGCGGGGAGGGGGATCGGTTAGGCGAGGCTGAGCTCCTGCAGCTCCGCCGCCGCGGGCGCGGCGCCGATCGGGCCCATCCGTCGGCGGAGGGGCGGGACGGACGTCACAGCACCCACGAGGCCCCAGGGATGGAGGCGGCTGGAGAAGAGAGCAGCGGCTGCGGAGGAGACGGAGGGGGCGGAAGCGGAGGTGGAGTGGGCGGAGGCGGGGGAGGCGGAGGGGGCGGAGAGGGCGGGAGGGAGGGCGAGGAGGGAGCAGGGAGCAGGGAGGACGGCGACGGGGGGGGGCAGGAGCCGGGATCAGGAGGAGGGAGCAGGAGGAAGGAGGGGGCTGGCAAGGCCAGCGGCGACGTCAGCAGTGAAGGGGTCAGGGCGACGTATAGCAACCTGGGAACACAAGTCCCTTGCATGATACAACGCCGCCGCTGCCCTCAAGTTGGAAGGCCGCGGCCTTCATGACACCCACTGCTGACGCACGGCTTCGAACAAACTCTTTTACCCTCGGCCAGGATCTACGTGGAATCGGCCCCTGGTACTGGTAATAGGACACAAAGCATGTGTCCAAGAAGCAAATCTTGCAATCCGCTTCCCGGCGGCTTCATCTTCTCTGGTGCTGCTCCGGGCCGGCCAACTGGCCTGGCGCAGAGGAAGCAGTCGTGCCCGTTGGCGTCGTGGCTGAAGACCCCAAGAATACGTTCCTGGGCCAGGTCCCCTGCCTTTCTATGGAGCTGCGCTCAGGAACCTGACAACTGTATCTTCTGGTCGTCGGTGCAACTTTGGAGGTGTCGGCGCGTCGCCCACGGCGGCCAGTTGATCCCAAGCAGACATTGCAGATTGAAAAAGGAGGCTGCACGCCTCCCGAGCGCCCTGCGCCCCCACCCTATAGACCTGGCCCCCCAGGCATACTCAACACCCGTGGTGCACGAAGATTGCGCGGGGTAGATACGCCAGACCAACGTCCAGACCGCATGCGGGCGTGATCACTGGCGTCGGAGCTGGGGCACCCTGTCGGGCCCGAGGTGTGCGAGGGGCGTGCTCAGACCCGCGCCCAAGGGGCGCCGCTAGAACTGGGGCTCGCTATGGGCCACGAAGTGTGTGAGCTGTGCGCCAGGATGCTCCTGGTGCGAATGCGGATTCGCCCATGGGCGCCACAGTTGCCACTCCCCTGTGGGGCACGAAGTGCGTGAGGGGTGTACCGACAGCAGTCGAACGCGAAGGCGAAGGCGCCCTTTGGCGCCGTGGCTGGGGCCCCCCATGGGGCACGAAGTGTGTGAGAGGTGCGCCAAAATGGGCCAAGTGCGAATACAAACGCCCGCTGAAGCCGTTGCTGAGGCCCCCCCGTCAGCCACGATGCAGCGAACCCCCACGCTCCTGGGCGGCCATGAAGCACAAGAAGAAAAAACCACGTAAACATAAACTGTTGGCGCTCCGCGCGGATTTCTCCGCGCCGGACCCCCCTTCCTGGCGCGCTCCGCGCGCCAGGGGCGGCGCCGGAAGCGCCGCCGCGGGGGCCCAGCGCGGACCCAAGAAATCCGCGCTGAGGCGCCCCCCGTCAGCCACGAACTGCTCTCCAAAATGAATCCGATCGGGTGCAAATTCGCACACTGGCGGCATTGCTGAGATCCCCTGTGGGCAACGAAGTGTCTTGCGTGTGCGTGTGTGTGAGAGGGTGCCCCAAAATTTAACAAACTCGAACGCAAATGCACGTGCCGGCCACCAGTGCCGTAACTGGAGCCCCCTGCGGGGCACAACATGCGCGAGGGGTGTGCCAAAATCAACGCTGGAGCGACTGCGGGCACGCCCAGTGGCGCCGTCGTCCTGCTATGGCCGCGTCAGCGGCAGCAATAGCAAGAGGAGGAAGAGGGAGAGGCAGACGGGGAGGAGGAGGAGGAGGAGGAGGAGGAGGAGGAGGAGGAGGAGGAGGAGGAGGAGGCGCCCGCGGCGCAACGTCAAAAAACAAGAGAGGGCCCGACCGCACAGGACGCGTGGGAAAAACTCGCAAGACTGGAGCGCCCTCGCCCCGCCACCCAGCAGGCCATCGGACCGGCTGTGGCAGGCCCTCGGTGCACCATCGATCTCGACTGTTTCTTGTCGGCGACGCGCTCCAGGCGCTGGGCCTGCTTCGGGTCCAGACGCGGGGCTGCGGCAGTCAGTCACGCGCGCGCGTCGTGCACCGCGCGGTCAAGGCAGCCAGAGGACAGCATGACGAGGTTGAACGAAACCTGGCTGTCGCTGCCCACCCGCCCGAATTACCGCGGCCAACTGAGCAGCAGACGGAAAAGCATATTACTCGTCCAGGGCGGCGAGATCTATACACATCCACTGCTCCCGGGCCAGGCCCGTCCTCAACCCAGCAGCGGCGTGTGCGCCAAGCCCTCCTGGCTTGGCCAGGAGGGCGTATACACGGCTCCTGGGTTCAGGATGGGCCTGGCCAGGGAGCAGGGAACATGTGCAGAGTTCGCCACCCGATCTTCTCAGCCCCGTCCGCAGAACGTGGCCCAGCGCTTCCCGGGAAACCTGTGCCTGGCTCTGCCGGGAGGGTGGAGGGGGAGGGCAAACGACAGGGGGCGACCCGTTCGGGGGGGGGGAACCTCGACCTGGAATCAGCGATGCGTCGCCGACGAATCGGCGAGAGGCCCCCGATAGCGAACCCCTTCGCCCCTGGGCAGCCATGAAGCACCTATCTAGGAGAAGAAAAAACCACGTAAACATAAACGGTTGGCGCTCCGCGCGGATTTCTCCGCGCCGGACCCCCCTTCCTGGCGCGCGGGGCGCGCCAGGGGCGGCGCCGGAGGCGCCGCCGCGGGGGGGCCCGGCGCGGATCCAGGAAATCCGCGCGCAGCGCCAAAAACTTAGGTTCATGTGGTTGTTGTTTTTTCGACTGTCGGCGATGAACGGGCGATGGGGGCTCGATGCATCACCCCCGGAGCCCTTAACGCTGCCCCTGGAGAGGGGGGGGGGTCAGGCGCGCCGCCCCAGAGGTTCAGCAGAGCTTCCCCCCCAACGGCACGGCTTCGGGAGGAGGGCTCCGCGGGAGGCACCCCCCCCCCCAGGGGGGACGGCCCCGGGGTGGCCACGGAGCGGTTCGGGCCCCAGGCCCTCGACATCAAGGAGTCCAGAGGCCCGACAACCCGGCAGCGACCCCCCCCCCGTGCTCTCTGGGCGCACCTCCCCGCTGCACCGCACAGCAGCAACCCCCCGGCCGAGGCGGGGCAGCGGCCTCCGCGGACAGCACCCCTTCCAGGGACGACCGTGCCCTTGCCGCGCCGGCGTCGTTCACCTCGCATTCCACTCACTATCCCGCCGTCTCGTCCGTTCGCACATTTCGCGCGCTCTCTCTCTCTCTCTCCCTCTCTCTCTCTCTCTCTCTCTCTCTCCGCGTGTCTATAAATATAGCCTTCTCTCTATATCACGCTCTCCCCTTCTCTGAAACCGAGCACGGCACGGCACGGTACGCGGGTGCGGCACGGCACGGCACAGCACATCTTCTGCGTTCTCGAAACCACACGGGGCACGGCACGGCAACCACTGCACGACACGGCACGGCACGCTGGCACGGCAGGGCACGGCGCGGCACTGCACGGCACGGCACGCGGGTACGGCACGACACGGCATATGTAGTGCGCGGGCAATACGAATTGTGCATTCTACAAGCAAAACACAACACGGCACGGCAAGGCACAGCACGGCACGGCACGGCACGCGGGCAGATGCTCGCTTTCTAAATATCAGAGTCACCTTCTTGAAACAGCTCTGACCCCTTACATAATGTGCTGCTTGAGGGAAAACCGTTCGTACAGCAATAGCGCCCGCAATCCCTTCCTGGATCAGCTTTGGAACAAGCGTTCCCCCACTACTTCTGGACTGAATTGCGTACTGGACGAGGACATCGGCTCCAGAATTCCATTCCATAGCATGCCAGTCCACAGGATCGAAGCACTCAGCTTTGGAGCCAAACCACAAGCGGAACAATGAGTAGAACACAGCCTCATGTAATTCACGGAGTCTCCATACGGAGGGGGACCATAACCACTATGACATGATTCACGCCCGCCACTGTCTGATTTTTCTTAGAGAAGTCCAACTGCATACGTCTTGAAGAGCACGTATAGTTATGGTCGTCCGAGCTTTGGTCAACGTAGAACGGCGGCGGCAACGGTAATTTCAGGGCCCCAAAGCTTGCCGTACAAGTAGTCCCCGCCTCACTTCCCAAGGATGTGCCTGGCAATGCTCAGACCGCTTCTCTCTCCAGTGCAGGCCCCACCCACATCTGAGACGGACTATCGTCCACACTGCGTTTGCCACCCCACGCGAACACACACCAGATCAGGGGTCGCGGGCTTCACCTCGGCGAAGCCTCGTGCCCGTGCGACCTCCCACAACGCTGCATCACGCTCGCGGCGAGCACGAGCAAGAGCAATCGGACGAGGAGTGCGCCGAGGGTGCGCCCCCGCTTCCCCCTGCTCCCCTGCGGCGGAGGACGGCGGCCACCGGACCTCCACGCCGCCTGGGGCTGCGACCACGGTGCGGAGCAGAAGGCCGCTGGGCAGACTGGGATCGCCACTCACAAGCCGACCTGCAGCAGCAGGTCGGGCGTTGCTAGAAGCACCCCTGGCCCAAGGTGCCCCCAGGACTCTCGGAACGGCCCAGGCGGCCTCCTCTGCACCCCTCACGAGGCCCAGGGGGCCCCAGGGGCTCCAGAATGGAGCGAAGAGCTGGGGGCACCTTGGGCCAGGGGCGCTTCTGGCAGCACCCGAGCAGGTGAAAGCCGTGCCACCGACTCCGGAGGCCCTGAGTGCGTCGGCGTTGGCGCCTGCCTCTCTCTCGGGAGGTCCAGCTTTGCATCCGCTGACTTCCGCCGTGCTTGCGGTGGGGGTCCACCGGCAACGCCCACCGTCGTTCCACATCCGACGGCGACGCGCACCACCCCACCCCCAAAGAGCACTCGGCGCAGGGGGTCTCGTGCGGGGCTACGGGCTACCTACCGTGTGTGGGCGGCGCTGGTACAGGCCCTGCCCTGCCGACGAACAGCGAGCAAAGGCAAGTGGGTATCTTCGTGCCCCAGCCCTACCCCTACT